AAAGTGGTCAGAATTTGCTTGTTATTATTTATCTTTTTTTTTTTTTTTTTTTTTTTTTTTTTTTTAATTAACTGCTATAGTTAAACACAATTGATTAAAAATGTGTGGTAACGTTTCCAAAAGTACTTACAGTTGCCTTAATTCTGTTCCAATTGAAATCAATGGTATAATTTCTGTACTTATCACCAGGAGCAGAGTTAAGCTGACACCAACTGCTCTCCAAGGTTACCTTCTGAAAATGTACATTGTTGTATGTAATTGAGCCAGGCGTAGCTCAGAGAACGAGCACCCAGAGGCAATTCTGAACTATGTGAATGAAAGAGTCCTGAAAGAAATCCGCTTTGAATGCATAGTGTAGCAAAGCCTGGGCAGAGACAACACTTTTTATTCTATGTAAGCTGTTCATATTTGAATGTAAAATAGTTGCTGCTACTCATACAAGTTATCCAAATAAAATGACTTATGTTAGTGCCTTTTTGTTTGTTCCAGCAGCAGCTTCATAAAAACTGTGGGGAAAAAAAATACATTTTACATTCGCAACAGTGTTGCAGATTAAGAACGAATATCCCAGTATCCACCTGATTTAATTTTTATAGGATAAGATGTGTGAGTGCTCATGACAAAAAATAAAATAAGAAGCCAGAAGAAAACAAAAAGCAATGGGTTGCCGTGACAAAAAAAACGTATTACAAGAATAAGAAAAAGATCTCAAGTATTTTCATGCTGTAAAAGACCAAGAGTGCCCAACCTGCAGAAATCAAAGTATAAATGGGATGGATGAGTTGCTTGCTGTCTTTCCTGACCATGCTGACACAACTCTAGTCAAAACATAAATAAAACATGCAAAAAATACAGTATAAAAAAAATTGCTTTGCTTTCATTCGCGGTTTTGTCTGTTACCTTCTGGGGTGGGATACACTCCCATTGGGAAGGAGTGGTTTTGATGGTGCAATAGAAACTATTTCATTCCCCACCACATAGAGCACAACAACACATCAAAAAGATGGTGGCAGGTCCAGAGGGTGGTGTAGACCCCAAGCAGGATGAACCACATGCTGGAGGTGCCTGTTTGACTGCGCCCAGAGGAGCAGGCAGGTGTGACCTATCTCCGTGTCAACATTTACCAGAGACAAAGTATTTTCTGATTACAAAAGTCAATCCAGTCATGGCCAAGTATGCCTCAACAACATCAAGTTTGCCTTTCTCTCAAATGAGCATGCACAGGTCTGCTTGACATAAATACGTTAAATCTCTTGGACATACTTATCTGTGCGTTTTATTTTTTCTATTTACTCTCTCACCCTCAGCTTCTTGAAAAATTGCAGGCTCATCTGCATTTCTGAAAGCAGCTCTTAGGACGAAGAGCCTGAAAAGGTAATTTGGGGTCTTTTACACCTTTAGCTGCATCCCTCGAAGCTAAATTATATGGAGCCCGTTCTACTCTTTCAGAAGTGATAAACATCCTCGTGGCTACTCCTGGTACGGCAGCAATACATTTGTGTCTGAAGTTATCTGACCCTAACAGCTGGACATAATGGGGATGCCAGAAGGGTCTTAGTCCAACAGCTGGGTAATGGAAGGCAATGGTTTACTCACGTGGGCTCCATAGCTACAGAAACAACAAAACTGATGGTCCCCTAAAATAAGGTGAAATTAATACATTGCTTAATCCAGCATTTGAAGAGAAAACACACTTAGGGCTATAACCACAGCAAAGGCTATGGATGCTTATCAAGCCCTGGAGCGTAAATGGCAGATATATAACACACATTTTAACAACCTATTACATGTACTTTTAAATAATTGGTAATGGTAACAACTGAAGATTATTTTATGCTGAAGTATACTGAAGAGCTAATGCTCAGTCCTTACCAGTAAAAAGCCACTGACAGAACAAAACAATAATAATTCAGGAATTGGAATAATAATTCCAAAAATAACTCATTTGATAAAAGAGACTGTGAAACTCTTCCCTGGGATCTTGAAGGACTAATAATTTTTAAAGATATTTTTCACATACTCTTCAAAAAGTATTTGAATTTCAGGATTCAGTTTCTTCCTCCACTCCTAAACATCTTGTGCACAGAGCAACACTGGAAGATCATTGGTTTGGAAGGCAGACTTCCTCCAAGATGGAGGTTCCATTTCTTCCATTAAATAATAATAAAAAGGCTCTGAGAAATGTTGGAACAAAAAATTCGGTAAGAACAAAGAGAAGCCTGTTCTCCTGTGCCAGATGATGAAATAAACAGAATATGAAATGCAGTTCAGGTTTTTACTTAAATCCATGGGAATTATTATGAATTAACCCAACATTTCATTTGATCGTTCATGGATATTAAGACCAAACATCATGATTTTTGTAATCATAAACAACTTGATCATAAGAAACTGCTAGTAAGATTTCTCCTTTCTTGACAACAGAGGACACCCAATGCCTAGGTGTAAACAGGAGTGAGCTCAGAATAGCAATCAGACAAGCTGACAGCATCTTCCATTTATTTTGTCAGCGAGAACATGATCATCATATCAATCATTTTATTAAAATGAATCAATTATCACTGAATGATGCTAGCTGAACACACATTCAGCAGCTCGTAAAATACTTAGCCCAGATTTCCAGGAAACATGCTACTTTATGAAGGCGCCTTGTGCAGTTTGTCTGGCTACAGAGAGATTACAGAACAGAAAGAAATGAAAACCCCTCAGGTATGGATATTTTTAGGATTTAAGCACACGTAATGCATGATATGGTGTCCATGTACTTTAGAAGACAGAAGAATTTGTTAAAAAATAGCAAAATAAACAGGGGTTCTGAATAAGCAAGGTTGCACTTTCAACTTGAAATGTGTACCTGATCTAAGTAAGGTCAAGGCAAAGCAGGGCAGTCGCAGTATTGGGATTTCCACTGTCAGGTTCTAATTTGGTAACTAGATGATAGGTACTTCAGAAACAAAACAGGTGGATACAGCTTGGGTTTGTCAAGCCAATTGCTTGTTTGCTATAGTGACGATGCAAGATGATAGCAATCATGAAATAGGCTTCTCCCTCCCCCAAAACACACCACTTGTTTTACCCCGCATTGCTTGTTTAGACTTAACATCAGGGAACCGCTTCTCCTCCTGTGTGATTCCCATTCCTTCTGACAACAAATACTGCATTTCTACCTTCTGGTCTCATCACTCATCACTACCAGCAATGTTTTGAAGACCATTTGGAAACTCCAAGATTTTCTTCACCAACCCTTGTAAATACCAGAAATATTTCACCTGACTTGTCAGATTAATTTGAAGCATTTGGATTCTTGTACTACAAGAGGCATTGATGGTTGATGAAGACTGGCCACAAGACTGGGCTCCTTGAGGACAAGTGAGAGTTCATTTCCCTATACATACCTATTTCTGACCTGTTTATTAGAGATTTCAGCTTAAAAGACTCACCTATTATCCACAACTAGCAGTGATGGGAAGAGCACCTCACAAAGCTGCATGACAATCAGGCTCCAGTGACTCTTCTTAGAGAAAAGTAAACGAGCAGATCTCAGGTTTTCCTGTTGACAATCCCAGTCCCCTTTGCAGTTTCATTTGAAGGTGATTGACATCTCTTCTCTCTGTTCTGCTCCCACACTTCATTTGATTTTCTTCTGGTCACCCTTTGACAGCCCAAGATTGCCCAGACTGCTCCTGCTGAGACATGGCTGCAGAGCTACACTTTCCCTAATCTGTTTCCCCCTTCTCTCAGTTCTTCTTGTCTACATCTTCACTTGGTTGATTTGTATGTCCACATGTCCATACAAGAATCCTTAGCTACACATTAGTAGTTACATCACTGATGGTATTTATATTGAACACAAGGCTCTGGTGCAAATTTCAAAGAACCCAGAGAAAGGGAGAGAGAACAATTAGAAACACCAAAACACAGTTTTACCATCAAATCTGTGCTTTCAGATTTGGTGTCTTGAAATGATATGGCAGATTCCTAACAGATACCTGACTGTATTACTTGTAAATGATAAGGTGACAATCTGCTTTCCCTTAGCTACCTCAGGCACATGGTTAAAAAGATTATAAAGATATAAATACACAATAAAATGCATATATTAAAATATAGTATAAAGGATGATATAATTTGCGTCTTACATACTCTAGACTTCAGACACTGTGACAGCTCAGGAACACTGAGCGTGGGGCTTTTAATTTGCTCTGCACTGAAAACTTCTTTATTGTTCACACCTTCTGACAAACAGTGCCACTATTAGTTGTTCTGCATGACAGCAAAGGGAACTCTGCAAAAATATGACCAAGTAGGCTCATTTGACGTGTATCTTTTACTGAAAAATACATTTTATTTGTCATAACATTCAAACAAAACAAAACAAACCCATAAATACAAATGCTTACTCATTCAACTACAACCTTTGGTATCCGGCAGTTCCAACCAGTCTGTTCTCAAGCGATACCGACATCTCGAGGTGTCCCTGGCGTGTAGTGCAATTCCCGGAGCCACTCGGCTTCCCTAACATCCCAGGCTCATGGCACTCAGCAGCAGGATTGCTCCAGGCTTCAGCTGTGTGCTCCCACAGTGTCGCCTACATTGGAAGCAGCTCAGAGTCCATTTTTCTCTAGTTACAGCTTTATTTTTCCATGTTATCCACACAACGCTTTCATAGCATTTTCCTGTTTGCCTTATAACTCACTGCTCTTCCATCAGACATACCACCCACATTCTATTAGCAATCACTGTCCTTACTTCACACGTGCACTTTTAAATACCTTTACACTGATAACCTATCCCCTTAAAAAGAAGGGGAACAATAAGAAAAAAATGGAAAAAAAGAGGGGTGGGGGAGAAAAAAAACAACACAGAGAAAAGTGGAAAAAACACAAGCATTTTTAAAGTACTGTAGGTGTTCTTGGGTAGTGACAAGTCAATGGTAATTTATGAGAATTAGGAATGACACTTTGGCCATCAGCACTAAATAGTAGAGGCACCTTTGAATGCAGACAGGAGAAAAAAAAAAAAAAAAAAAACAAACCACACACAACCCATAAATACATTTTAAATCATTCACCAGGGATTTCACTTTACTCAAGCGAAACCGACCCTGCTGTGAAGGACCGGAGCCACATTCACACATCACTCCAGTCCCACTGGACCTAAAACTCATGGCTGCAACAGGCCTTGAACTCTGCCACAGGGAAAGGGAACCCAAGTGGTGGGCAGGCCTTTCCCTGTTGAATTTCACATGCAGTGTGCTGCGACTGCACTGTGAAACATCTAACACAAGCAGCTTATAGGCCCCAACACCAAGGGCTTGCCTCTCACCCAAGGTACGAAGTTATGCATCGCTCCATCAGAAGGAGAAACTCACCCCTGGCTATCCTGGGGAAGCACCACATCCCCAGATTTTTTTCCAACAGTCTTTTCTGCAATATCTGCTGTGTGCCAGGCTTAAGCCCAGGCTGGGTGCACACTGTGTGGAGAACCAGGGGCTCGGCCCTGCAAGTTACTGGTTGCTCCCAGCCCAGCTCAGCAAAACATAGTGCTGTCAGGCTGAAAACCATCATGGCCCCAGGAAGACCTCAGGAATCTCCTTGGGGATCCAGAGCCAGAATGTGGGAGGGCTTTGCTGGGCTGGGATGGGCAGCTCAGCTCCCTACAAAACCCACCCCTCCATGCAAGCATGGGCACCATTTGGTAACAGACAAAACCTAGCAAACATTGTATGACGTTAGAAGTGATACATTCTACTGAAGAAATCTCCCCTGAGAAAATAAAGTAGCTGTTGGTATCACCTCATGTCATTGCTTTCATCTCTACAGGCAGTTAAAATAATAATAATTAAAAAAAAAAAGAAAACAACAAAAAACCATACAAAATTTTCCTCCAACAACTACATTTTGAAATCCTGGGCACTTGTTTCCTAGGCATTTTTTCCCTTCAAGTACACTGGGTAAAACTGTAAACCCTGAGTTTGTGTGTGCAAACCTCTGTCCTGTAAACCTCAACATGAAACTTCACTCTGAGCACTGATATAAGAAAAGGTAGCACGCAAATATTTTTAAACACGAATGCTAATATTGTAATGTACCATACACATCTTTGCCTCAGAGGACAACTTACTCTGGTACCTGCGCTGTCCTGCAGTCCAAAGCACTGCTGTAACACTGATGGTCTACTGGTAACATGCACAAAATTACTGAGTAAAGGGAACAGGGAAGAAGCACCCATTTTCCATAAGAGGCATTTAGCCAGAATCCCAGCAAAAAGTTAAGGCTTGTAATCAGATCAAATGACAGAAATGCAGAAACTTAAGATTACATGCTACAAGTTCTAGTCGGGCACTTCAAGCTCCTAAAAAGGGTCAGAATATTATTTTTAATTAGATTTCCATAACAATGACATAAATGAGAAGACCCATATTACATCAGTCCCTATATGTGTACATGCAGTGCATCTCATCCTGAGGGCAATGTCAAACAAAATCTCACACCTATAAGGACAGCTGTAGCTGATTCCTGCGTTTTGCAAATTACTTGTGGAAATGACAATCTGGGGAAAAAAAATGAATAAATGAATAAATGAAATAAAATGAATTAAAAAATACTTTGCCAGGTAAAACGAATCAGTACAGCCAAAGACTTGGTTCTCATGTAGAAAGATCATGAAAATAGCTAAATTCTGCACAAAAACATAGTGATAGAATATGACGAATAGAAAGCCCAGTAAATGCTTAAAATTACAAAGTGCTCAGCTGAAGATTCACTTTTTAATAACAGAATGAGCACTAAAGCTGAGAGCATCTATCTCCTTCACAAGAGAGTGCAATAGCTGTGCTATTCCATTTGCACCATGTTTCACACAGTGCTGCCTACCCACCAGATCTTTTCTGTTCTAACAGTGAATGGAAGAAATTAACTTTTCAGGATTTACTCAGTTTAAAAGAGCAAAAAAAAAGCTAATGAATAATGCATACACAAATATGTTTATATTCTAAATAAATAGAAAGCTTTACAAATAGCTTGAATGCTTCTCCATCACCAGTTTGGAAACTGGTGAATAATTCTGTTCTTCCTGTTATCGTGACAATTATTTAGAAGTAGGCACAGGAAAACCCTGCACATGGCAAATCATTAAGTACAGGCTTTGGGGGTTTGCATTTAGATTTTAAATTTTCAACATTTCACCTTCAGAAATTTTTACATTAAATAAGTTAGGTTTGATCTTATGGTTACAGGCTTCTCAAAAGGCTTCACTGGACTGAAACTTTGGGCAAGGAACATGGTAGTTTAGTTACATCTGCATGTTCATAATTCTTTTTTACTGAGAAAAAGTAGTTGCTGTCAGCAAATCATCAGTCTGTGCAACACTGGACACACACTCACAAGTCACTGCATTTTGAGTGACCATGGAGTTTCTTGTTTAAAAGAGAACTGTTTTCTTAGCAAATAAAGATAGCATGGATGTGGCCCTCAGGTGAACCTGGCAGACAGTGTTAAATGACTGCGCGTGAACGGAACTGGAACAAAGAAGTTTCTCTCACGGGAATCACTAGGGCTATCAGCAACGTGGCAGTTTGAAACAGAAAAGATTGCAGCCTTAAAGCAAAATAAATGCTGTCTTCTCCTTTAGAACCGAGATCTACAAATATTACATCCATCTTCTTTCCAGTATTTCAACACTGTGATAATTAAGGCAACTTGTGATGTTCAATACAGTACAAAGAAGCAAACAAAAAATGAAAGCAATCAAACATATCTTCCGATATTTACACAATCTCTTTTGAACCATGCCAAAAAAATAAACACTACAAATGACTTGAACACTACAGTTCTCTCTGTTTGCAATTCAAAGTGCATGACTATAGAGTACAAAATAGAGATTTGACCTTATATTGGCACCAAAACCTATGGGGATGATTGTGATGTGCAGCAGTGGCTGAGAGCAGAGTGCTTTATTTCTTATTCAAAAGCCATGTGGCTACATTGGCTAATCCCAAACCACTGCAAGCACCTGGAGAAAACTGTGCTTTGATCCAAATCCAAACACAGCTCCATTTGCACACTCTGTTTTACAAACAGCTGCAGCAGCAGCAGTGCCACTTTCAGCCACACACAAAGTCTGCAGAGCAGCCTCCATACAAAAACAATTGTGCAGAAAATAAAGCAGTGATTTACTGTTGTTGAGGAAACAAGAAACTTACACAACTTGTTTTGTATGAAGCAAAAAAATTAGAAAACTGTAGAAGCAGTTTTTAGGATGAGTGTTCCGAGTTGCCAGGCATATTTCAAATAAAGGAGAGTGATCCTTATTCCTTGGCCCTGTAAGGAAAAAAACAATCATTAATAAAAAGTAGATTCTTAGAGAACTGCCACAAACATTCAAGCAATCGTTTCTACTCCAGAAAAGTATGCAGCATGTCTTTCACTGCTACAGTATTCTTCCTATAAATTTCCCCAAACTACTGCCAAGGATGAAACAGCAGCATCCCAAGATTTTAAACAAAGTGTTCAAGGCCAGGTTGGGTGGGGCCCTGGGCAGCCTGATCAGGTGGGTAGCAACCTTGCCCACAGCAGGGGTTTGGAAAAGGATAGGCTTTAAGGTCCCTTCAAACCCTAACCATTCTGTGATTCTGTGAATCTACAGTCAGGCACCCTTGTATTTTCAGCAGAACCAATCCCAGTGTGTGGAGTGTGAAGCACACATTGCCTTATTTCCTTTCTGGGGAACCCTGTGTAGGTACATTAGAAGACTACAAAGCCATCTACCAGGGATTTTCAAGCAAAGGCTTATGTTGGCCTGGAACGTCTATGTATTCAGTGCTCAGTCTGGAATAGCCAGACAAGTGTTCTGATTTCAGTAGCACCAGTAACTATACACAGCTGGGAAGTGCAGGTGCCAGAGTTTACTTATAGGCCTTGAAAGTGAGGTACAGCACCCAGCACGATGCACATAAGTGAAAGAGCCCATAACCACATGTGCAAGCATATATACAAGTGCATGTATATATGTGCAAGCATTTGCAAAGTTAAAGCTTAAAAGTTGGCTCAGGAAAGCATCCCAAAGTGCTGCTGGTGGTGTGAAGCTGAGGGCTACATAAAATCTGAGTCAACTCTGGACTGAAAGCCAAGTTTGGAAATAGGCTTTGCTTCAGCAGCCATATGAAAGAAGGGCAGCAGGAAAATCAAGGTAAGAACTGAGCTGCCAAAAGGGGACAGATGCCAAGCCAAGTGATTCCCTGATGTGGTTATATGGTTTGTGAAAAAGAAAGAAAACAAAAAAGGATGTGGAAAAGAAAGAAAATAAAGAAGGAAGGGAGATACATTCTTTATGGGAAGACACTGAGGAGTGGAAAAAAAGTATGGCTCAAGCTTCTATTCAGATAGAAAAAATGGGACCCAGCCAGCTCAGTGTGTCATTCCTACCAGCCGAAGCCAGGTCTAAGCGACAGAATCTGACTGATTCTCAAAGCCACAACCTGGCAAATGGCCCGACCTCATGAGAGCAATCCGAGTGAAAAATGATCAACAGCTCCTATCTGGACCTGTGTGAAACACAGAACTGCCAGTTCTGCTTCTGCTCTCATATCACAGTTTCTTGTTAGAGGAAAACCTACCCCAAGCCAAGCCGCAGATGCGATCAGAAAGATGAAGACAAGAGGGTAAGAAAGGAAACCGTGAGAATCACAAAATCACAGAACATCTGGAGTTGGAAGGGACCTACAAGGTTCATCGAGTCCAATTCCTGCTTCTACACAACCACCCAAAAATCAGATGCTGCATCTGAGTGTCGTCCAGGCGCTTTTTGAGCACCGGCAGATAATGAGAGAAGAACCAGGTGGAGACAGTGAAGTCATGAGGACAAATAGAACTGCTGAATTTATAGGAGGATCCAACACGACAACGGGAGAGAAGTACTGCAGAACCCAACAGAAGCCCGATCCTGGATTTGCCCTCCGACGCAAATCGAAGAGGTGTACCCTTTTCCCAGGCTGCTAATGGGTAGCGCACCCCCCCAGCCGCTGCCCCTAGGCACTCACCGGCGCTCAGCGGTGCTCCACCACCAGCCGCATGGTCGTGCCGTCGAAGGAGGGCGGTGCCACAAGCCGCGAGCCGCCACCGGGCGCCGTGATGCTGACGAGAGGTTTGGCATCGGCCGCTCCGCGCCGCGCCGCCGGCCCCTGCCCGCCGGGCACGTAGTAGGGGCCCTCGGGCTCCGCCGGGCTGCCCGGATCGGCCGCGCCGCTGCCTTCACTGCCCGGGTGGGAGAGCGGGCGCGGCAAGGCGCTGGCGGGCAGCACGGCGGCGGCGGGCAGCAGCCCGGGGTACAGCATGTAGGCGGCCCCGAAGGCGCCGGCGTTGAGGGCGAGAGGCGACAGGGGCAGCGGCAGCGGGGCGACGGCTGGCGGCGGCACCGGCACCTCCACGTATTGCCCGCTCTCGGGGTCGAAGAGGCGGCGCTTGACGGGCTGCTGCGGCGGCGCGTCCAGCAGGTAGTACTGCCCGCTGCTCACGTCCAACAGCACCCGCCGCTGTGGCAGCGGCTCGGCCGCGGCCACAGACGGCGAAAAGCAGAACAACGGCGCCGGCGGCGCGGCAGCGAAGGGTGGCAGGGCCGGCGGGAAGAGAGCGGCC